ACTTCGCGTTTTTCATGTACACACGTTAAAACGCCAAATTTCGGACATTTTTGACTGTGTACATTCGGTTTACTCTCGATTCGTCCCAAATTAGTCAATTAGACGATTCTCCTCTTAAATGTTTTTCTCAATTCGTCCCTTACATAAATAGATCACTCTTAATTGATTCTCAATTCGTCCCTTACATAAATAGATCACTCTTAATTGATTCTCAATTCGTCCCTAGTTGGTTAGCAGTCAAGCAGTGGTATTTTTGTATCGTAGAGCTTTATAAAAAAAAATTACAATATAGAATCAACAATAATGAAGTATAAATTTCTATTGTCACTTTTTGAATAGCCGTGTCTTGACAGCACGGCCACATTGTATAGCCAATTGGACATCGCTTAGTTGTTTATTCTTGTGTTCTTCATGAAGCATAGCAAGTTTAATATCAATTTGATCGTAAATTTTCTTACGTCTTCGTAGTTGAACCTGACTCTCTTCAGCAACATGATGTTGGTACTCATGTTCCATACGTAATGTATCTATAAATTGATAGATATGTGGATGAGTAGGAAATTCTACTTTCATTCGTCGGTTGTAGCCTTCGACATGGTTGTTCGTTCGAGGGCGACGATTGACAATAGCGTCATAGACGTTCCATATGTCCACACTGAATCGAGCTGAACCATTTTTCTACATATGTGGATACCATAAAATCATTAAATTGTGAAGCCGTATGATAATCATTTGGTGTATATTCGTCCATTAAACTAACCCAAGTTGTTTCAACTAACGATGGTGGTATAAGTGCAAGTCCAATTGCACCAAGCAACCAATGATCAGCTTTTTTATAATCATCATCATTAAATGTTCTTCTACTAGCAGATACTAATCGAGAGAGGCCAAGTTCTTGAATTTTTCGCCAGATTGATTGGCTATAATGAAAAAAACAAGCCGAAATCTTCACGGTAGGAAATGTAGACTTGCATGCTTGAATAGCGGCTAATTCAAAGTCGCTTGTAAATCGTTGTGGAGAAAAAGTAAGATTAATTTTGGCACACAGTATGATAATATGGTTAAAGATTTTTTTGTATAGAACTTTGTCAAATTTAGTCGTGAGACAATATATGCAAGGGATCATGTAGCCGTTGTCGAAGCCAAATACGATGTATATTTGAGCAAAAATAAGAGGTCGTGTGCTGAAAGTACCATCAGCATGAACTTGTGTACATGAAGACAAGAATCGCAAGCTCCATTCGGAACCAAACATAAGCAGTCGTTCAGATTCATCTAATAAGATAAATGTGTAGAATATATAATCTACCATTACGATCGACTTACAACTTTCATCGACAAGGAGAAAAGGTTGTCCCTGTTTGGTTAATTTCCATTCTTCAGGTAGAGACAAATCAGTTAAATTTTTCGGCAATGCTGGATAATTTTTTGATCGCATTCGGTATAAGCTTGCATCGAGGCTGTCCAATGATGGAAAAATAAGACCAGTTGAGATGCCTGGATTTTCAAGCCTTGCCTTTACTACTTCTTGAGAATATATTTTTGTAACTGATGTAGTTTCTTCTCGTGCACGTTGCTTCATACGACCAACAACTTCTTCCATGACAATTGTTGCATCGGAAACTGGTGTGCATCTGTGAACACTAGGTTCTCGAAGAATAGTTGTACCAGATGTGCAGAGAGACAAGGTAGCTGAACATTTCCGATCACGGCATCGCTATTCTTGTGATAACTTATTCATCCTCTTTTTGGTGTATTGATGTCCATCATAATTGCAAACATTTCCACCGCGTTCAGATAATGTAAATCGAAGCATAACAAGTTAAATACAATGTGATCGATAGATTATGAATATATTTTACTGAAAACATCGGCTTATATACACGGAGCAAAAGAAACTATGGTACTTTTGGCCTATTGTTCGTGAATACAGTGATCTTTCCATAATGGTCGATCATTATGGAGCCAATAGCATGATTATGCGAGGCATCACCCGATGCGCATGAAAAGTTATATAATTAATTTAACCAATGAAAACACAAAGGAAAGAGATCGTACGATACGTACAAGAGAAAAGAAGAATAAAAATCATGCGATGCATAACAGAAAACAAAAAAAGAAAAGATTAAATGTCGTACGATATATGACAATACGATCATTATACAGCAGCCATCATGGAAGGGACGAATTGAGAAAAATATTTAAGAGGAGAATCGTCTAATTGACTAATTTGGGACGAATCGAGAGGATCCCACATTTACGCTATATCAATGATCTATTTATTACTATTAATTAGCCTATATATCACTTCATGAAACACGCTGATCGATAGAATAGATTTTATTTTTCTAATATACAACTGTCAGCCAATATAATGATAAATGACAATAAAATCAATCTTTTGCTATTGGCTACTTCGACATGGATGCTCTACACTAATTATAAATGTATATATTCATAGATGACATCAGCAGAAACCTTTACTATTATCTTCATTTCGTATAGAGGAGGTTTTCGAAAAATTTCATTTATATTCGAACTCGAATTAAGCATCTACTCGTTATTTTGTTAAATTTAAATTAAATAAGACAAAGAAGAGAAATTATCAATATCAAAACATTGAAATTGATTGTTTGATAATTATTTGATAGATTATTAAACAAAATCGTCAAGTAAAACTTGATTCGGATAAATACATTAAAGAATTAACAATTCAACTTGAAAAGAAAGTATCCAGAACTCCACCCAGGTCGAGGAATCCCAGGCTCGGACCCTGTGGGATCCGATAGGAAACCCCAAATAATCCCATGCTTTCCGACAGGGACCCGACAACTCCTGATAGGATCCTGTCGGAAATCGTCGGAATCCTTGGTACAGGATTCCGAAAGGAAGTTGTCGGATGTTGGATCCGACGATTTCCGACGGTCCAATCCGATAGTTGGAAAACGTCGGATACACTCGAAATCCGATGAAAGCCTGTTGAATTTATAGCTAGACATTGGATATTGTTTGCCTCTCCCCCCCCGCCCTCTTTCACTTTCTTCTTTATCTACAATTAGCTGCAAATTAGCGGCTTGAATCTAGTTTATTTTAACCTTTTATTAAATAAAAAAAATATATTACAATAAAATAAATCACAATACAATAAAATAATTCACAATATAACAAAAATATTTACAATACTATAAAAAATTAAAAAAGTATAAAAGAATTTACAATAAAGTGAAAGATTCCACAATAAAATAAAATAAGTTACAATACAACAAAAAGCTCACAACACTATAAAAAATGATAAAAAATAAAAAAATTCACAATAACATAAAACAGATCGCAATACTATAAAATAATTTACAATATAATAAAAAATTTTACAATACTATAAAAAATTTTAAAAAAAGAATTTACAATAAAGTAAAATAATTTACAATAAAATAAAATAAATAATTTCCATTCACTGTTGATAGACTTCATACCGAAATATAATGTAAAACAAAATAAGATAAAATACAATACAAATAAAATAAGTTAAACGATATAAAACAACTAAAAAACTAATACGTATTCACTGTTGCTTAGCTTTGTGCCATTATATAATCTAAAACAAAATGGAATTAAATGAAGTAACCTAAAAAAATAAAATAAAATACAATAGATAAAATTCTTTATTTTAATCGCATCTATGCATTGACTGGTGTTATGTACTCACACAATATCACGTGTGGATGAGGGCGCTGTGATCAAAGTGGAGAAGAGCGTAAAAATAAAAAAATAAAAAATTCAATAAAAGAAAAATGAAACAAAATAAAATAAAAAATTATAAATATACTAAACTAAAATAAAGAGCAATAAAAATATAATAAATGAAATAAAGTATCTATAGATACTTTCGTGCCCCGGATTTCGTCGGATCCGACAAGTTCCTATTGTCGGGTTTCATCGGATCCTATTGTCAGAATCCGACAGAATCCAACGGCGGAAATTAACGGATGTTGATGGTTTCCGACAGTTGGATCCGATCGGATCCCGACTGTCGGAAATTGTCGGATAGGAGCAGATCCGACAGGGTGAGTTCGATCTGGGCATTCATTGGACGATTTGTAAATGACATTTATTATATTTCAAATAGCAAGATTGATTTATATTATGAAAGAAAAATGTCATTCTTTGCGTTTGTTCTTCTTGATATTCTACCATAACTTTTAAATAAAAATCATCATTTTTTCAAAGCACTTGAGGAAGAAAATGTCATTATGTTTGATCTTTAAATAATGTGGGTAATAAAGATAAATCGATAAAGATTTTACACAGTAAAAAATCAAATCAAAAATATGGTTGCCATCATCGGAACAGCACTACATTGGTCGGATATACTAGTTTTATTACTCTATTTTTTGCTCATTCTCGGCTTTGGAGTTTGGGTAAGAGAGATTCAAGAAAGTTCATTTGATTATTTGATTGTCTTTAGAGTTCATGCAAGAATCGTGGCAGTGTTGGTGAGAAAAGATATATTCTTTTTTATTCGTCAAGGACTTGATATTTTGCTATTCAGGTGGATATTTTCTTGCTGGTCGTTCAATGCATTTTATACCGGTAAAAAGTCTTCAAACAATTCTTCTCAATTTCATTCAATAATCTTCTAGGTGGGCGCATCCTTATTTGCATCGAACATTGGCAGTGGTCATTTCATTGGCCTTGCTGGATCTGGTGCCTCAAGCGGCATTGCTGTTGCTGGTTATGAAATAGGTGTAAGAAAAGAATACTTTTGTATCAAGAACATCTTCTATATAATAGGCGGTTCATTGGCTGATGGTACTCGGTTGGTTATTCGTTCCAATTTATATGAAAGCAGAAGTATTCACGATGCCACAATATATAAAAATGCGTTACGGTGGTGAACGTATTCGAGTTTATTTAACATGTCTTGCATTAATGTTATCAATCTTTACCAAAATATCTGTTGATCTCTATTCTGGTGCTATTTTCCTCCAACAAGCTTTAAATTGGAATCTATATGCCTCAGTTATTGCTCTGATTCTTCTCGCTGCATTCTTCACTGTTGGTGGTAAATAGAAAAGGAAATATGTTTTTTGGTTATAATAAAACTTTTGATCTAGGCGGTTTAACAGCAGTTATTTGGACGGATTTTATACAAACAGTAATTATGGTTATATCAGCTTTTATTCTGATGATTATTAGTATGTTATTTCTATGAATGAAAATAGTGAATTTAAATATTGAAAATAGGTTTTGTCAAAGTTGGTGGTATGCAACAAATTCGCAATCTGTTTCCGTATGCAGTTGCGTATACAACATTACATAATACTACTAAATGTGGTGTATCGAATGAATATTATTTCTCATTAATTCGTCCATTCGATGCTGATTTACCATGGTTTGGATTATTTTTTGGAAATGGAGTTGCGTCTATTTGGTATTGGTGTTGCGATCAAGTGAGTCCAAAGAGAGAATAATGAAGAAAATATTTGTTTTGAGTTCTAATTTAGGTGATTGTACAACGAACATTGGCAGCAAAAAATCTTACACATGCAAGAGCAGGATGTCTTGTTGCGGGAATATTGAAATTTTTACCGTTATTTCTAATGGTATTTCCTGGTGAGTGATTGATCTTTTGGAGAATTTGAAGTTTGTTCATGATTTTAATAGGAATGATTGCAAGAATTCTCTTTCCAGGTATGAATATTTCTTTGATTATATCTAAAAACTAACTTTGATATAGATGAAATCGGTTGTGCTGATCCCGATGTGTGCTATCAAGTTTGTCATAGTCGAAATGGTTGTAGTGACATTGCATATCCACTTCTTGTGCTTCGATTAATGCCCAATGGTGAATCTTTAACTTATCTTTTGGAAGAAAATAAATCTATTCCTTTTCTCAGCAATTCGTGGTTTAACACTAGCCTGTATGATTGCAGCTTTAATGTCCTCCTTAACGTCGATCTTTAATTCGAGTTCGACTATTTTCACAATTGATATCTGGCAACGTTTTCGTCGAAATGCACATGATTGGGAATTGATGATTGTTGGCAGGTAAATGAAAGAAAAATTTCTTTGGAAAATAATGACATGGAATTGTATTGAAGAGTTTTCGTCATGATTCTTGTGGGAATATCCATTCTTTGGATTCCAATTGTTCGAGCAGCACAAGGTGCAAGATTATTTGATTATATTTCAGCTGTTTCATCATTTTTAGCACCTCCAGTTACTGCTTGTTATTTACTTGGGGTTTTATGGAAACGAATCAATGAAGAAGTAATTTATTCAGAGTAGCAATTTTTGATAATTCTGATTTTAGGGAGCATTTTGGGGTTTGATATCTGGTTTATTTATTGGAATAATTCGATTCATTTGGGAATATTCTTATAGTGCAATGCCTTGTCAACTCGAACATCTGGATAAGCGTCCATCAGTAGTTCGATTTAATTCTCTGTATTTTTCTCTTCTTCTTTTCATAATCTCTAGTATTGTGACCATTGTTGTCAGTCTTTTGACAAAACCTATTCCAGAAAAATATGTAAGTTATAATTAATTTTCTCGATCGAATACAAATGTGATGTCTAGATATCCGGTTTAACCATTTTTGAT